TAAAGGTGGGAATAATAAGCAAAGTTCAAAATCGCAAGTGGCGGAAGAATAACATATAACAAATATGTAAGAAAAATCTAGAAATAAAGTATCTAAAATGTGTTGCTCAACGAAAAAGTTTAAACATTTATTTTTTAACTGGAAAACAATAAAACTTACAGCGAAACACTTCCGCAGACGACATTTCTGGCAAAAACGACGGCTCACTGAATTGATGTCACAGTCATCGGAATACGGGCATTTGAATTCCTGTAAAAACGGCCCATGTAATTTCCTTGATACCATTGTTTCAAAAAAAAAAAAATAAATAAGTAGCAACGCGCACCAGACCGGCCGGTGCGATCATGCGTTTTGTGCAATCCAGCCCATCGAACAATTCTCTATTAATGATTTTCACTATTTTGTACTTTTGTCTATGCAAAAATAGTTCAACAATTGGAAAACAGTTAAAAATTTCACGAACCAGCGCATGAAAGCTGAATTCGAAACCTTGAAGGGTGAATATCTTTCCCTGATTCCCGAGTAAATAGTTTAACCGCCAAAATTCTCACGAGGCCGTAAGTGATACTCAACAGCGAGGGAACTCTGAATTTGAATAGGCAAGGTTGAGCGTAGGCAGGGGGTTATTACCCAAAAATTCCAACCTCCTAAACGACGTGGTTCCTGAGATATTAATTTACCCGTAAAAAAATCTCACAGGGCCGTAAGTGTTACCCCCGGGTACGGGAAAGCTGAATTTGAATGTGCAAGGTTGAGCGTGAGCATGGGGTCATTACCCTAAATTTTCAGCTTCCTAGACCCCGTGGTTCTCGAGATAATAGTTTACCACTAAAAACTTTCACTAGCCTGTAGGTGATACCCGAGGACGCGGGAACGCTGAAACTGAATGGGCAAGGTTGAGCGTGGGCAGGGGGTCATTACCCTAAAATTTCAGCCTCCTAAACTCCGTGGTTCCTGAGATGTTAATTCACCGTGTTATCCGCGTAAAAAACTTTTACGGAGCCGTACGTTTTATCCGCGGATACGGGAAAGCTGAATATAAATTTACCGCGTCACTCGTTGGCGGGGAATATTATACCAAAATTTCAGCAGCCTAACTTTTGTGGTTCCCAAGTCGAAAGTGCGGGAAAAAATGTGGGATACACACACAAACACACACACAGACAACCTCGTGACAATATGCGTTTTGTAACGCTGTTACACAGCACAAAACGTATAAAAACCGTTAAGCTATAATAAAATAAGCATGCACTGAAAAAAAATTTTTTTTTGAAGCAAAAATCTTATGGCAGGGCGTTTACCGACAACTGCTACGCGTCGTGATACTCAGATGTTCATGAAATTGAAAGAGCGAGTAAACACCGTATAGTTATTGGAAGGGAGGTTGTTTAAAAAACGTAAATTAACGGTTTTTAAAAACTTCCAAGCACAAAGTCAGAGTAGCAGCAGCAGCAACTAACCTTCGGTCTGAGAGCATTTCTTCTAAAGAACGCCTTGCAGGACTCGCATGTGATCACGTTAAAATTATAACCCGTTGCATGGTCACCACATACACGACACGTTTTCTGGCGGCGCCGAGCCTCCTGAAACAATGAAATGGGCGATATTCCATGCACTGATGATATATCGAAAGCAAATCAGTACAGCACATACGCGAACAAAAAAAAATAACTTGAAGAGAATTTAAGCAAAAATTATTAAGAAATGCGCAAAAAAGTATAAAACCATAAATTCTTGTAGCGATAAAAACAACTTTAAAAAACAAACGCAAAAAAAAGACAAAAAAGTGTTCTTTTATTTTTTTTTTTTTTTTTGTAAAGTGTTCTTTTCTAATTTTTTAAAGGTTGATTAAACGAGTGTACGACTTGCACAACATTCTTGCTTCTTCATCCAAAAATCTTGGGAAGGCAGCTAAGATTATTCGTCAAACAACATCGAGATCGCCAACATTTCTTCGTCTCATGATATGAAATTCTCGATGTTGTTGAGATTCGAAATCTAGATGCACTAAGCGGCCTTAAGTTTTTGATAAATTTCTCATTTTAAAATAGTTCAAGAAATCAGCCAAATTTTCCAAAAATGAGCGGCAATACAACGAAAAGTCTAATCAAATTTTCGATCAACTGGAGACTATCTGGAAGCTTAAAATGGTACGGCGTGGTGTAAATTCGTGCTACGCATGAATGCGTTCCAGCATGCTCAAGAACATTGAATCTCCACGGAGATTTCTAGGAAATCTTGGTAATTTTGCCATTTTCGGAACCAATTTTACCCTTCAAAATTCCCAACGCAATTTTAGTCCAGTTATCGCATAAATTAGCAAATCCAGTTTCGACCTATTTTAGTAGAATCATGGAAGTATGATTTCCGCACTTCAGTTTTATGAAAAAAAGAAAAAAAGAACGAACATCAGCAGTGACATTGTCAGCGTTGGGAGAATCGCACCCACTGGATGAGGCGCCTTGACGCATAGTACCGGTGCCCATTGCTAAATCATCCAGCATGTTCAGGCGTACTCCGGCCAGTCCTCCTGCAACCTACACCTCAACTCCCTGGATCACGAAAAAACATTTCTCCAACAGCACAACGATGTTTTTTAAGCGTGTCCTATTGATTATTACTGCTTTTATTAATCTTTCAGTTTGGAAGCACGGCAGCGCAGGAGTGGCGCGCCTATCCAAAAGAGCCAAATGAGCAACCACCCATCCAGCCAGTATGACCAGAGAAAAAGAAAAATGAAAATTGGAGAAGCTACCGCAAAAAACAAAAAATCTGGCTAGAGAGCTGTTAAAAAAAGACTAAAAAATATTAAACTGAATTGTAAAAGTTGCTACATTTCGGTAAGCTGCAGTAAAGACAGGAGCATACAGCAATTTTTCAATTCAGAATCTTTCTCCTGACCAGGAATCATCATTTGGCTCCGAAAAATACCAAAATTCAGGTTTTTTGTAATCGTTCAATCTTTTGTCGGAATCCCGACATGCTGCCATCTATGCAAATGCTTCCTATTTCGAGCTCAATTTTTCAATGAAATTTC